TAGTAGCACTTTAAAGATTTGCGTGAAGAATACAATAGGACACTAAGTCCCCTACTAGGTATTAAATACCWAAACACCTGTTTGTTAGTCGTCTGGGTAGCGTAATTACACCTATTTCGACTCAAAAAGTTGTCAAAGCTAAAAGCAATAGAGGCTTTGCACCGTCGCTTGTTTGAAGTCGAAGATAGTATTTCAAAGGTCTTGATCATATTATTGTTGTATACCCATAATTCCTTTCGGTCTTAGAATAAACTATACTTTCTCAGGCTCCTTTGGCTCCGACGCCTTGTTCGAAATAGGTGTAAATATTATGACAGTACCATATATATCATATTGCAATTTGATTTTAAATTAGGTTTTGAAGGCCGATTGAAAATTATCTACGATAGATTTTATACCTTCATTTTACAAAAGCGCGAAGACGTTTTCGACTAATTTGCGTACCGAGCATGCGCAGACGGTTTCTTAGTCATGTCATACTGACACAAGACATTTACCGTATTACCTTATTTACGAACAACTACTAAGACACCAACCCGTAGGACCGGGTACTATCATACCCAAGGGCGGATCCAAGGAATTTTTGAGTGGGAGGGGGGAGAGGGGGCCCTGCAAACGTTGAGGGGGCCCAAGTGAATGCTTCATACAAAATTTACTTCAAACCTGTTATAAAACTAAATCTCAGGATAAAACAAATAATGGGCCATTTTACCGATACGGCGGCCATCTTGAATTCTATGGTTTTAATTAAGGCATTATAGGATGCCGAGGGGGCAATTATTGGAAAATATATACACTGCACAGCTGTCAGGATGTCTTTTTATATAACTTGCTGTTCTAAAAAGGAATTGAATTTGCTGGTAGTCGAACAATATTCAAAACACCAAGACTTCAAATTATTTGAAAACGTCCGCCACTCTATGCTTTATAAATTTTCTACGTTTTTGTCCCCTCGGCATCCCATAATTCAAGATGGCCGCCGTATCAGTAAAAAGATCTATTGAACCATAGGTATGACAGGGGGGTCCGCACTCCCCGATCCTCCCCTGGATCCGCAAATGATACCACCCTGTTTGGGAACAACATAACAATGTATTTTTCTCTAGTCTACCGTACTGTGACAAGGGCTTACCACGGTTGCTTGATAGCATTAATTCCATTTTGAACCTTCCCGCAATGTTCTATGACTTGCTAGTTGTCTTTCTATACACCGTCTTCCGGCTCTGGAGGGGCAGATGGTGAAGGCGATGGAGTGTCCATTGATAAYGGAGAAAGASGTGCCGTTGGAAACACAGGTACAGTAGTATAGGCGTTAGGACACGCTGCTGTTGAGGGTGATAATTCATGATGGAGTGATTACTGGGTCGCAGGAGAAGAGGCGGTAGGGCTCCCTGCTGATGAGGATGATGATGCATGATGGAGTGGTTGCTGGATCGCAGCGGTAGGAGAAAAGCCGGTAGGACTCCCTGCTGTTAAGGGTGATGATGTTGGAGAAACTAATTGCTGGCCTGGACCAAGATGTGATGGAGAAGTCAAAGTTGCGTGCTGGGACAAGTTTTGTTCGTGGCTAGAAGTGTTAAGGATAATTTGTAATCAAATTTTCATAAAGATGATGACGAAAACTAATGTGAGAATGATGAGATAACGATAACGATAACGATGATGGCAATAGTGATGATGACGGATAGTTAAGAGCATAGTGATGATAATAATAAAAATAATAACGAAAAAGTAATGATAAAAGGGTAAATATACACCGTGAAAAGATGAAAAAGCTTACTGACGTTTCGGACGCAGCTCACACTACATGTAGTTTTTAGCTCTCTTCATAACGATGAAAACGTAAATTGCACATACAAAGAATGTGCACCTCACAGATTTTAAAAATACTAGGATTTAGCTTTTTTTGCGGAGGGAGATAAGCTGGAGAAGTTAGAAAAAACCCTCGAATCAATTCAGAGATCTTAAAAACGATCTAAAACAGACCATGCGCTTATCTAAGTCAAGAGAGCACACGATACCACAACACCACTCTTGATTCCCACAGGATCCTTGCTGAAGTATCCACTTCAAATTCAAGGACTACTCAATGAGTACTCAAGGACCCAAAAATATTTTTTCAAGTAACATGTTCAGCTAACTAAGCCATGGTTTTACACGGTGTCTGAACATGGCCGACTTTCCGAGTCGTTTCCAGTACGTCTTATAGTTGTAGGTCAAAAAACTTCGGATGACTAGATCTTTTTCAGACCATGCAAATAACGACCAAAGCATAAAATTCAAGGAGTTTTTAGAGAGTTTCGCTAAAATCGTAAAATTCAATAGTTTTTCAAGTGGAGCGCGTGCTTTATGAGAGCACATTGCACGCGCGTGCATTTTCCGTTGCATCATTCCTATCTAAAATAACGGTTATTGTAATTTGTACTTCATAAAAGAAATAAAAAAAACTTGCTTGCTGTGCTGTGCTGTGTGCCGTTATAAAGCACTTGGGGATTGGCAGAACACTCGCGCGCTTTATGACTGCACACAGCACACAGCACGCGCTCGCGTTTTCTATTTCTTCACCGACGCAGCTCACACTAGTTTTTAGCTAGTTATCTCTTCTTTTAATATAATACCTCAAGTTCACAGAGGAATTTGGACCAATAGMAGCCACTGCACCTTCACCAACGTTGATATTATAAGTGACATTGGCTAGAGATAATGAAAGAAAAAGGATGCAAGATATTAGAGAGCTTTTAAATATTTGACCAGTAAAAAATAATTTAAAATTAGTGAAAAGTAAAGGCAAAAATCTTCGAGTAAAATTCAAGTACAGTCGAAGCTCTCCTTGCGACCACTCTCGTAAGCGAGCAGCTCTAGTTATGACCGCGATTTTGAAAGCACGTGTGCATCCCCATTCAAACTTTGGAATACGAAGTTCTCGTAAAGGACCACTCCCGTAATCGACCGCAACCACTTTCAGAAATTACCAAGTGTGATTTCCCTTTGTTTTTAAGCTCTCGTAAGCGACCACCGATGGAGTTCCGSATTATTGTTGTATCACTCAACACTTTATTTAAAGACAGTACTGTAAAGGATATAAAACTTCCGGCGTGTTTACATTACTTTATTTCGTTAAGAGTATTGGTAATTTTCGTAGCTGACCTGCACTTGGCA